TGTAGATCACCTACACAACACTGTAAGAGTTTCATCCCTTTGCAATGGGTTGTAGATCACCAGGGAAAAGATGATCTATATTTAGAAACAATTTTTGTAATGGCTGTACAGAGGGATCAAATTGTTGTGTGTGTGTGTGTGTATATATATATATATATATATATATATATATATATATATATATATATATATATATATATATTGTGTATTTCTAATTTTTCTAATGCATTTAAATGAACAAGCCAGTTTTGAGTAATGCATTGTTTGCCAATCTGACCTATTGCAGAGGGATGCAGCTTTTTTTGTCACCTTGGAGGATGTGTTAATTGGGATTTTCTATACCTATCTTTACTTGAATTCATCATAGTTTCTACTCATTAAGCACAGATTTGTTTGTTGTATTTTTTAAAAAATATTTGACTAGTTTTAGCAAAAGCTATACATAGATGTCAGCTCATTTGTCATTTTTTACCATCCTAGTTTAATGAAGATAAATTTCTCAAATTCTGACATGTAATAATTTGTTTAGTGGCAGGTGTACAATAAATGGAAATGGTCTTGTTACAAAATTAATTTTTAACACATTGGTTAGGAAAATCATTACATGCAAAATATTTTGAATGTTGTTAAATCTGATTTGGGTATCATTAAAAGGCTGAAAGAGATGTAACATTTTTTTGTATTACTATTATTTAGTAAAGTTTTTAATTTCTTTAAAGAATTCCATTTACAATCCACTTTCATTTTTGTCTCTGCAGGTTTTTGTTTGTATCACATATCATGTGGTCTAGGACTTAAGTTTCCATTGTGTATTTTTGGCTATGCATTTGGTTTGATTTGTATGTCCATATTTGCTATTTATGTCCATATTTGCTATTTTCAGTGTCTCAAAAACTAGTGGACAAATTTCAGCCAAAATTTATTTAAAAAGCCTTGAAGAATGTACCAGTGATGTCCTGCTATCAAATATGACAGCTGCTACTAAAAATATAAAGCCTTTAAACAACTTCTCAAAAATTGTGATCAACTGTGGCTGCAGTTGCTAAAATAGAAATAGAAATAACATCCTGTGACTTCTTAGAAACCACTGAACAAAACTCCAACAAATTTGCAAGTATTCTGGTGAAAAGCCCTTTCTTATTTTTATAAATGATAACCAATGTCATTATATATGACAATCATTTAAAAAAAATACAAAAAAAATAAGTAACTTCTTAAAGACACTGGAAAGAATTTTGTCAAATTTGACATCTGGCTTGCTTGTATAAAGTCTTGTAAGTATATCGGACAAATGCTGATTTGTCACTAAATCCTGATAAATATTCAAAAATAGAAAAAACTTGAAAAAATTGTGTTATTACATATGCAAACTGCATTTTTGAAGAAAATTCAGCAGCAACCATCATGTTTACCCAGATTTCATAGCCAACTACTCTTGTATTTGGCCACAAGGCAGATATCAGACAGGTGAGCTTAGACCCATTTTGGTCTCTTTTTTTTTGTTTTTGTTTTATTTTGTTTTTTAAACTTGCCACCATTAAGTGATTTGTGAATTGTTTAAATTAATATTATTAATATCCTTCTGTTAACAGGACTATGTCAAATTTTGTACGTGATTGATTATTGGTAGTCTTTTTCTGGAACACGGGATATTGAAATTCTTTGTAATTTTTTTCTGTGCTTCTTGACTTTGGGAGGAGAAGATGTACATTTAGAGAGGTAGAGAAAAGAAATTGACCCTTTAGGCATCAAATCCACATTTTGAAATTTTCACAACCTATTTAATGTAGATATTGATGCTGACAAAAATGCAGTATGTTAGGAATTCCTTCAAGTGATGTTAGTTTTCTACAATGAGGTCATATTGTCAGGAAGACATTTTCTCGCATTATGGCCCATATCCAGTCCATTGCATTTTAAATTGTTATTATGAAGCATTGTTGTAAACTTGCTGCTAAGCAGGTATATAAGACTTCTGTTAGTGAAATAAAGTTGTTGACCTCTTGAACCGTGTTGCAGCATTTACACTTGTTTACATGCCAGATCCAGCTGCAAACAATGTAGACCCATACCTGCTGTTCCACTATGCCATTATCCTGATAACATTGGTAAATACAACCATTTTAGAACAAGGTGGAAAAGGTACCAGTAAGAAATTTTGTGAAAGAATTTTTGAATCTCGTAAAGTAACTAATCTTCAACCTACACATGGAATAATGGTTATTATAATGTTTACCATTACGTTTTAAATTTGCTGTATATTACTTTTCCAATGTCCAGATAATACTAAAACATTCATTGCAAGTATGAATGATCACCATTATCGGGTGGCCTGTGTAAAACCTCCATAAGATATTTTTATATTTTATATCAACAGAGTTCAAAGATGCATTTATGTTGACAAATATAAACCTTTATTATATTATGTCACTTAATTTTCTATGCTGAATAATGATACTAGGATCTCAATTTTTTGGACTAATCAAAATATTTTTCTAGAACAGACCAGAAATATTGGGGAACTTTAATTTTTTTCAACAATTGTAAAATGATGCTCATCTATTTAGTGATCATAGACAGGGTTCAACTTCTGTAGATATGATGGATTTGACCACTTTCAGTAGATAAAGTATGTATTTTAAACAGCAAATTTGTTCTGAAAATCTTGTTCAGTAGAATGACTCCATCAGGACTGTACATTTGAAATCTATGTCCAGTCTTACAAAAACATTCGGATTTTTGTATAGACCATGAGCAAAAGGTTACAGGTAATGATTGTTATTTTTGCAGTAATAATCCACATTCTTGTGTTCTGTTGTAGGCAACCAGTATGTAAACATGCGCATAAACAATGTCTAAACAGCATTGGACAGCTGACAATGTTACAGAAATGTAACTACCATGTTAGAAGTGTCATAGCAAATGTTTCCAAGTTCATTACTGGTAAAAAAATCTTGGCTAACATTATGTGCATTATTGCCATTCAAGAGAGCAAGTCATGTAGTGATGATGGTTTAACTTGTATCATTATGCTGTTTAATAATTTGCCACAGTGACCTACTTTCCATGTTTGTATCAGCCTGCAGTTGAATCCTGGCATCATTGTGAACAACCTGCAGAATAGTTGTCATGGTGACCAAACTTCAGCATCTGTATCTTCCTGCTATAGCAGACTTTATGGCATAGAAACTTTATTGCTAGCTGATAGGTGTTTTGGCAACCTTACCCTTACCCAATCATCATTATCCAAATTTTTCACATTTTTTTTTACAATTATATGCAACACATTTAAGATGGCTGGCCCAAAAATAATGTTGAATGAATGTGTGATATGGTTCATATTTTACAGAAAAGTTGTCAATCTATATCTTACACGAAATGAAAACTGAATTATAGATGAAAAATTTATTTTCCAAATGAAAGTTTTGTATACCTTCAAAATCATTTAAAAGCATATACTGGAGAACTTGTTTTTCTTAATAAAAATTAGATTTTTTGTGTTTTGTAGCATTTCCCAAAATTAGAAGATAAAACACAAAAATGTTTACATTATCGTTAGATATATTCTGCTTGTCTTGTACAAGAGTTTTACATAGCTAGATTGTACTGCTTAGGGCCCTGCCAGTAAAATATACTTTGGACTTTGGGAAGACACTTTTAATGTGGAGGTATATCACCCATAAATGCATATGATACTTTTGTATCACTGTCACATGTATGTTTGAAGTAATAAGAGTATCCTGGTATATGTTTTTATAGAAGTGCCTTCCCTGGGTACCATGTATGTTTAAATGGAATATCCCTTACATAGCAGATGTTTAACTCATAATTTTTTTTTTGTTTGAAAAAGGTTTAGACATTTTTATCAACATCAGATATGTTGTTTACTTTTTTAAAAGAATTTCAATTTTTCACTTTATTCATTTTTTAAAATGCAATTGTTATATTATGACACATATTGTGGGTGGGTGAAAAAGCCAATTCTGCTGATATGGTTTAGGTAGACTTGCAGGATGTTATGAAAATAATTCCCACTTTGTCTAAATCATGGTAAGCAGAAATATATATATATATATATATATATATATATATATATATATATATATATATATATATATATATATATATATAGGCAGTCTTCTAAAAATGAATGCCACTGTCTAAATCATGGTAAGCAGAAATATTTGTGTGTATGTATATATATGTGTGAGAGTGTGTGTGCATCTTGTTATATGGTATGTCTGTTCAAATCAATTTTTTTCACAAATACAGACCCAACATTGTTACAACCAAGTAACTTGGTCATGTGATGCACAATGTAATCATGATCAACACTGAATAAAACAATTTACTTTAAGTTTGGCATTATTTATTGACAGATACAAACAATCAAGAGATCATGACAACAGTCTCTAATGTAGTTCTGCTGAAAGGGGAATTTGTTGTTATTAAGAAAACCTACTCTGTACTCATTTATAATTTAAGTCCAACTGCAAACAAGATAGACCTTGATCTGCTGTAAAAATTATGTATTAGTATATGAGATTCTAAGTTGCTTGTTCTGCTGATTACTCCAATTTGCACCCAGATCTGCCTGCACATTTTGCAGTGGCACATCTTAGTCTGTGTTGATTGCAGTTGGACATGTAAGCAAGTACAGTGACCTAATAATTTAGAAGAAACAAAACTGCTAATGTCTTGTCTTGTATTTGGAGAAGCAGTTTTTATTCATTAATCATACACATCTTCATAAATTTATATCTTTGTCACAAACTCAGATTACTTTAATAAAAACCCATTTAGATTTTTTTTTAATCACTGAAAAAATGAAGATGGATAGGATAAGCAGATGTTAGCATGCACTTTTCAAACCATTTATATAAAAATATGCAGTAAATATCTATTATGTAGCGTACAACATAAAGAATAAAAAATTGTCAAATGAAAATAAACATACTTTTTTTCTTCATATACCAACAGACTGAATACAAGATTATTCAGTCAACTGTGTTTAGTGGTTTGAGCATCCGCTTCGGATGCAGAATGTCGTTGGTTCGAACCCAGTCATACCAAAAACTTTTTAAAATGGCACTCAGCATTAAGAGGCTAGTGTTGGGACTGGTTGGCCTGGTGTCTGCATAATGAAACTGGCTGGGGCATAATGCCGCAGTGCTAGACATCATGGCCATATAACTGAAATATTGTTTATGCTACATTTAAAAAAGTCAAAAATCACATAAATCACAACAGTTTAACAACCATTTGCCATCAAATTTTTAAAACAACTTTGGTAGACCCATATGGTTAGAGCATTCACTGCAGATGTGTGTGGGTCATGGATTCGAGCCAGCCAAGTCTTACAAAAGACATTAAAAGAGTTCTAGCAGCTTTCTGACAAGGCATCATTAATAAGAGGTTAATGTTATGTTTGGCCTAGTGTCACGATAATGTGACTGGTTGGGACATGAAGCTACATGTCTGTGGCATGATACTCCTGAGTTAAACATCACTATAAACTGCCACACCACAGATGTCATAGCAATATGACTAACATTGGTACAGATATCTTATATATCTTAATCTCACACACAATCTTTAACCATTCATAATTTGTGTATGCACATATTTTTTTACATCAAAATCAAAGTATCTTTTTTAAATGCGGCAGGTCTGTCTTTGCAGAATCTACATTTATTATTACTTGTTTTGCTTAGAAAATGATTAATTTTACTACTACAGCGGCCTTAGTTATCTCTTCAATTTCACTTACATTTTCTGTGATAAATATTAAGTTGATGGCGTGACTACACTTGCTCTTGGTCCACTGTAACAAGGGCCCCAAGATGGTTAAGTGGTCTAAGACACTTGCTTTTTTTCAGTCCACTGACATCTTACCCATGTTCATGATGGTTTGAATCTTGGGCTCAGCAAGAATGGGTATGTGAGAAGCCTTGCCAGTAGCTTCCTGTGAGTTGTTCAGTCTTCAGAGGATTTTCGTGGGCTCTTCCTCCACTGGCTGTTATGTACATTCCATAAAATGCATTAAACCCCAAAACCAATGTAACACATTTAAGAATGACATTGATATATGACAGTCTAAGAACATATATTTTTCAGTTTTAACATCTACATTGAACAATATTCATTTGTAATAATTTTTACTTTAAAAATTGTATTTGTAGTCATGGTTGTTACTGTTATAGGGTTTAATGCCATTTTTTCAGCACAAGATAGGCTATACATGGTGGCCATTATAAATGTTGGAGGAACCTGGGAAATCCTGGAAAGAACCACCAACACACTGGAAGCTACCAGCAAGCTTTCTCCCATAACCATGTTGGCCAAGCCAAAGACTTTAACCCATGCAGATGGGTGAGATGGCAATGATCCATCACAAATGGCCAAGCTAGAAATGGTCAATTGTTCCTTGGAAGGTGAAACTAAGGAACTTTCATGAAGTTGGGTGGATGGAGGGACATGAACATGAGCATTGCTCTGATTGAGACTGATCACAAACTCCTCTTGAAGGAGAGATGAACTGATCCCAATGTTTTCAACTTCCATTGAGTGTCCCTGGGCAAGACACTTTTCTTAAATTGTCTTGGCACTAATTAACCTACATGGGTAGCTGTGATGTAAAACACCAAACCAAACCACTACAGCTTTGAAACAACTCCCTCTCCACAGCAGAGTCAGAGTGAGGCAACAGATTGAAGTTTTAGCACAATCAGTGAGGGCTTGTCCTCATCTGGCAAAATTTCCATATACATTTAGACTGAGCAGCATTGGAAGTAGTTGTCCCATCACTGAAAGTGTAGGCTGGTATTTCTGTATTGGGTATGCCAATAATGTCAAAACCTTGTAGCTGTACTGGAAGCCTGGGATCTGACAGTTTATGTTCTGCCAGACCAAAAAGTTGCAAGGAATGCCAAATAGCCTGCTCTGCATGCAGATGGTTAGCTGGCAGAATCGATTCTCTGCATATTATTCCATGTACAACACAATGAGCAGTTGGTATGATGCATGGATTGCTGAAAGAACTTGTCACCTCATATGCAAGGACTGCTAGAAACCTAGACTACAAGGTCTATAAATGGGACAATTTCATGACATGGCTGGCAAGAAAAATGGCCAGATCAGCTTGACACAGATTACATGTCCTAATGCCATATTGTAGCATACCTGGAGACTTGTGTCCCCTGTGCTGCTAAATATTGGGAGAACAATACCCATGTAAATCCAAAGCAGCATGAGAATATCCCTGGAAATGGAGGGGCCAAAGCTACCCCTCAATAAAAGCAACTGTACTGTCATCTAAATCTTGTGCATATTAGTCTGGTGAAGCATGGGTGCATCCACAGCCATCAACCTGTCTTCTAGTGTCAGGATATAACAGCCTCTGAAAGATTCTTGGATGTTAAGTGTGATTGGAATGTCCACCACTATATCCAAAAGCCATATATTTCATGTGGTGGCTCAAGACAAGGCACTCTGGTGATTTTGTTTTAATATTCCAATGTCTTGCCTTCAAATTCTTCTGCAGGCAAGTCTGGATACCATGGAAAGCTTTTACTATGGTATACAACATTTCTCAACATAATCACATTACATACCATAATATACTGACATTATATTAGGGACCAACAAATTAATGATATGGGCTAGGGACATTGACATCTTTTTTAACATAACTTCCACCTGTCAATAGCTAAAAATGTATTGCTTAGATTTGCACCATATTAGCTCATTCACCATATTCATTATATCATTTTAAAGTATATAAATTATCTCAAGATAAAAGAAACCAAAATAGCCAAATATCAAATCCCCTCCCCCACAAAAAAATTAACTGGTCAATATCCTGTAGTAAAGTGGTTCCCAACCAACAGGTCGCAAAGATGTTCTAGAGGGTTGAAAAAATTTGGGGGTAAGGGGGGAGGGTGACACAAATTACCAAAATAAGGAAAAGTATCATGTGACACAGAAAAACTTTTTTTAGGGATAAGGCAAAAAAGGTTGTGAACCACAGTAGTCAATGAATTTGCTATGTGAAAATTAATAACTAAAAGTTGAAATAAAAAAATATTGAAAGATGCTTTGAATACACGGTAATTGAAAGCCTGTTCAAGACATTGTGCTGACAACAGATAGCCTGCTGATTAGTAAATTAAGTGCTGACACTCAGGCCTAGAATTTAAAAGCCTCTATTAATGTTACAAGCAGGCAAACAGATTAGGATACATATGCCCTGGCAAGATATTTTTTAGAGACAGCCAGTAAACATAAACCACACTTACTCAACAAAGAAGAAAATATCAAAGGGACATGACCAAATAAAAAATATTTGAACAGAAGACAACTGCTCTCATTTGGATTTGTAATGTAGCTTTAACAAATTTAGTTGTATTGCTATTAAGTCTGTAGTGTGGCAGTTAATGTCCAGAATTCAGGCATCATGCCACAGACATGTAGCATGATGTCCCACCCAGTCACATTATCCTGACACCAAGCCAGCCAGTCCTAACACTAACCTCTTAATGCTAAGCACCCAAGCGAGGCAGCTGTTAGTACAATTTCATAAGTCTTTGGTATAACTTGACCATCATTTGAACCTGCATCCTCCCACATCTGAGGTGGGCACCTGCCATATGCTAGTAAATAACTAAACTGCCAAATGACACTTTCTTTGTCTTAATCTAAAATTTTCCAAAAAATTTGGATTTGGCCTGCATATATTATACAACATCCCATATGGTCACCATATTGGCACAAGTGACAAGGGTCAAATATGTAAATAAATGATCATAAATATATTTGTAATATTCAAAATTAATTCATGACACTATATTGTACGAAAAAAAATTATTTATGGAATTACTTTGTCATAAAAATGCAAACTGGGTGTCGATATCAATAAATTTTTAACAAGATTACTTGGGTTTTTCCATATATTTTTTTGGAAACAAACCAATGAAGCACCAGCACAGTGAAAAAGTACCATGGTACATACAAATGAAAATCATACCACAGTAAACTGAGAATACCTCGATTTGTTGATCAAATATGACAAATATAGACCTGCCAACCCTGACGAGTCCGTCTCAGTAAGGCAGTTGATTATTTTCCGTAAGTTTGACCAGTTTTCACTAAGATGTACAAAAATATCAAACTACTACTGTAAACCACAAAAACGTAAAAGTTTGGAAACATGAATGGAAATAAACATTAGGTTTAACTGAAGAGACTGTAAAGACGCGTAGATGTTATTTACCACTAGCACATTTGCACAAACTCAAGCTCCAACCCCTATGCAGCTCAATGGTTTGTTGCTATCTCTCAATGAGACATAATTATCTTTTTCCATTGCACATGACAAAATCATATCCAGCCACATATTACTAAAATCAACACGCGATGTCAAAAAAATGTAATTGTGTCGCTTCCATCTTTTGTTCTCAAGAATCTGAATATTCCTTTTTATTCTTCGGTGTTGATTTTTAGCACTTTTTAAGAGGCTTATTTTCCCCTTCGTCTTGAACATGCATTGCTTGCTGGACGCCATTTTTAAACAGCTGGATCATGCAGAAGCTTCGCATGAAGAAAGTGGCAGTTTAAAACATCTTACGTGCTGTTGTAAAGTTAGTCTGGTTCATTGACAAATTTCACTATTTTTAATATGAAACCCAGATCCAAATCAAACATGGATGAAGAAATTTTCCGGATTTTTCAGCAATGATCATTTTCCTGTAGTCTTTGCTTTTATGCCGCAAGTCCATATTTTAAGGGTAATTTTAGTATGAATTCTGGCAAAATCGTAAGAGTTGGCAGGTCTGCAAATATTCAGTATAATTTAATAACCGATAAATTTGCTTTTTGTGACAAACTGTGACCTTTACTTCACCCTATTTGACCATCATTTCAACCTATTAGAACATGTGGGAAAAGTCAGTTATGAGACAACTACTAGTAGCTTCCATGATTCAGCGGTTCTTTCCAGGATTTTTCCTCTACCAGTTATTCTTGTGCTATGAACACTAAAACATCACTTCACCTGAAGCACAACCCATTACAG